CGTTGAGGGGCATTTCTAGCCTTAGCCACTGATGGCACAATCCCCAAGAGCTCCCCTGGCCCAGCTACCTTCTCATAGCAGAGGGTCTGATGCACTGACAGCCATGTTTCAGGACCAGAATCATGAGTTTGCAGGTAGGATTCCCACCCCCAATGGCATCTTTTATCAGGTTTTCTAGTCCTAGGGGATGAGGAAGTCCATGGTACCCATGTTTGCAGCCATCTTATGGCTCATACAAACTAGGACTGGACCTGGGAATATCACACCCGGTCTCTGTAGGGTGTGGTCAGGCATCTGCATTCTCGTTTCTGGCTGTTTTTTTCCCTGGAAAGAGAGTACGGATGAGCAGGAAAGGCTTGTTATGGGTGGGGCCCGATGACACATCAGAAGCCTAGGTAAGGTTCTCCATCAGAGACAGCAGGCCCCGGCCCTGCGTCCTTTTCAGAGGTCTCCAACCAGTGAACTTCCGTCCATATTCAGCTCTCAGAACAAAGTGGGCTCCCTGAGCTTCCTGGCGAGGGGGAAATACCTCTCCTATCCTATAACACACCTCTCCCCCTCAGCACTGCGCACCACTGCAGTGTCTCTCGTGATTAACCCCCTCCCTACAAAATTTAGAAAAACCGTAGATTAATGAGAAGGCAGGACATGCTCTCTCCACAGACCTGCTGCTAGCCAGTCACCTAACCCAGAAACTTCGAAGTTTCGCTCTCCCAGCGACCTCCCTCGCAAAGTCGTTCCTTTTCCCTTCTGCATCTGGCTTGAAGCCACCCTTCTCATTCCCAGAACCCCACCTACTCTAGGCCCTCCTCTTTCACTCGCTCCACTGCAACCCTCTGACCCAGCCTGCACCACAAAGCAGGGCACCATGCCCGACCTTCCCGCCGCAGCACCGCGCCAGCGCGCCCCTCACCCGCAGCGGCGCGCGGGGTTGGGGGATGCAGGAGGCGGCCCGGGGAGCCGGGAGCAGTGTCTCTTCCGCTGGCTACTGGGACTTGCTCGGAGGAAGGGGTGGTCCCCAGCTCCCCAGGGAGCGCGTGCACAGGGCCCTCACGCAGAGCGAAGCCAGCCAGAGCAGACCCATTGGGCCCTGGCAACCCCGGGAGAGGCGGGGCTCCGGCAGGAAGTACCTAGTCAGTTCCCCTCTGATCCCGCCGCCCGGCACCCGGCCCTAGAAAGCCCCGCCTCCCATTGCCTGTCGCAGCTGTTAGTGTAAAGAGGGGTCGGGCCACCGTGGAGCCCTCTGGGAAAGGTAGTTCTGGCTGGCCCCGCCTCCAGGGTGGGTCGGGATCTTGTGGGATCCTGAGCTTCAAGCTGTAGGGCTGTCCAGGAGGCTCATTCATTAAGCTTCTTTGTTTCTGTGACAAATATTTATGGAAGGTCTACTACATGCCAGACACCATCAGGTGCTGGGGGTACTTTGGTGAATCCAGGCCATGTGCATGCTTAGAAAGCTCCGTGTCAGAGGGGGAATTGCACAAATGTAAAACTGCAACCGTAACTGCTAAGGAAAAAAACTTAAACAGGAATCACGTGGTGGCAAATGACTGGGGAAGGCTCTGCTTGAGAGGAAGGTCAGTCTCCCAGGTTTCTCCTGTCAGGACAACCATTTGATGCCTGTAATGATTCCTCAGAGATGTGCCTCACAGCATCTCCCTTAACCCTCACATACTTGAAGGTAGACTTTGTGATTATTCTCTGGGTTTTCAAGGAGACTGAGACTCAACCATTTTCTGAAGGTAGCACAACTCACAGATATTGGGCTTTAACAATACACCTACAACAATGAACCTGAGACTTCCACCCTGTCTCCTCCTTCAGAACACATCCTACAATCCAGCCCTGTTTTCTACATATGGGAAATGTGGATAACAATGGTGAATTCATCCAGGAAAAGTGCTCAGCACAGGAGGGCCAGGGCACAAAACAATCCCTTGGTTAGTGTTGGCCATCACCATTACTACTCTAATTGACTGTCTGACTTACCTGTTACTTTTGACCCGAGTCCCCATCCTCTCTTCTTTCTGCAGTATCCTAAGTATCCTTTAAAGTCATCTCTTTTCTCCCACTCTGTACATGTAATTTTTGTGGGGCTGACCCCAGACACAGCTCCAGGAGAGTGCATGAGAAGCAGGTCTGGCCAGTCTACTTCATCCTCCCAGCCACAGTGGTTATCTCAGAGATGGGCTCATGAACCACATCACTCAAATGAAACTTAACTTCTAGGAGGAATGTGGAACTGCTGGCCAAGTTCCCTTTCATTTCAGAATATTCAGAGTGACAACAGTTCCCCTTGTAATTTCCTGGGCAGCCTAGCCTGCAAGTGTAGGGCCATTCTGCCTACTTTGGGTGCTTACCCGTCCCCCATGTAGGGGATCTTCTAGGGCGGGAACAGCACAGGCAATAATGTCAGGCTAGCTACTCTCCACCAGTGATCTGAGCTATTTTAATCACTAATGCTTTACTCACAGAAGGTTCAAGGCAGTAGAATGTAGAACAAATTCTTTAATGTCTCCTCTGTTGTATTAGCTCAGCATATTTCTATTTGAGATACAAACCACATTTGCCTCACTTCCTTCAAATGTGGCTTGTAGCAATTGTGCCTCTTTGCTAAATTAGTCCTTCCAAGCGATAGAAAATCATAACATTTTTATCCTGAGAACTTAGTCAAGCTTTTTGCTAAATTCCTTACAGCTTTTCTGGGCCACTGTTAAAGTCCTGTCTACTTGTAACTGACAGCACAAATTCTTATTCCTTTCCTCCTGTCAGTCTTGTATCTATATCCAACAGTACAAAAGTGACAGAGCCATAGATATTTCATTCTTTAAATGCACAATTTTAAGCACTTGCCATGTGTCTGTCCCTGCCCCCAGAGACATTAAACCACTAGTCATATAATTACTATTCAGTTTCGTAATGATAGGTAGGGATGGAGGGGATGTCTCAGGTAAAAAGAAAAGTATGTTCACAATTCCTTTTTTTTTTTTTTAAATATTTACTTAAGAGAGTGAAGGACAGTGCAAGAGCAGGGAGAGGGAGAAGCTGACTCCCTGCTGAGCATGAAGCCTGACCTGGGCATTACGTGGGGCTCAATTCCAGGATGCTGGGATCATGACCTGAGCAGAAGGCAGACATTTAACCAACTGAGCCACCCAGGCGTCCCTATGTTCACAATTCTTGAGGAAGTAAAGAGCTTGGTACATTTGATAAACTGAAAGAAAGTGGAGCTGGAGAGAGAGAATAGAGAATAGCTGGAGTTGACAGGGAAGTAATAGGATGGTCATGCTGAATATTTTGGATGTTATTCTAAGGACAACAGAAAGCTAGTGGAAGATGTCAAGTTGGTGACATGATCAGATGTGTTGGCAGTGAAATGGAGTGATTTAAGTCGACCCCTAGGAGTACTGTTAAGGGTGGTGACAATGGAGACACAGAGAATCAGTGGAGACACAGGCAACCAGTCAGGTCTGAGAGATATATTTGAGGCCGAATGCACAGGACTTGATGATAGAATGGATGAGTAGAGGGAGTGTGCTGGTAGCATGAGCAATTGTGTGTATGTGGCGCCACATACTGGAGGCAAACAGATCAAGGGCTAAAAGCTTGAGTTCTGTGTAGGGCTTCTGTTTTGATGCCTCAGGACATTCCAAGGAAGGGGTCTCATAGACACGTGAATATAGGGATCTGGAATGCAGGAAGAGAAGAAATCTGGGCGAGACACAGGTCTTTGTAGTCATGAAAGTGGTGAAGCTCTTTTGGGGGGACCCTGTACTCTGGTGAGCCCCGGGTACAGTACGGAACAGAAAGAAGCATGTTAGAATCCGGCCGCAAGGCACAGAAAGCCGCAGAGGAGACTGGCGCTGGGTCTAGACAGGAGACACACCACGCAGGGCACGTCGGAAGCACAGCGTGTCCCTTTCAACAAGCCAAAGGCACACAAGCTGGCCGAGCCGGCAGCTTCGCGTTGCCAAAGCGGGGTTCGTACCCGGAAGAGCGCGGTCAGTGCCTGGGGTCCAGGAACGGAGATTCGTCTGCCTCCCCGATGGTCACACAAGGTGCGGAGGACGAGACCTGAGGGACCTGTCGGCAGACACTGTCGGCCCCGCCGCCCAGTTTCTGTGGAGACCGCCCCGCAGCGGGTGGAGGGGTCGACAGACGCCCACTACCAGGCGCCCGCCACTCACCGTACCTTAGCCTACCAGACGGCGCGCAGCCAAGCGGCCTGAAGAGGACGCCGGAAGTGGGTGCGCCATTTCCGGTTCCCAGCCCAGCGAGCGGCTCGCGCGCATCATCTCGCTGGTGTTCCCGCGGGCCTCCGCGGCGGGCTGGGGGGACCCTCCGTGGCCGCGCAGAGCCTCCTGGGAGTGGTATGGCGCGTGAGCTCTCCCCGCAGTGTGCGGCCGCTGGTGTCGGGCTCCCAGTACCGCGGCGGCAGGGCCGCGGCTGCCTCAGTTTCCTCTGTGTTCCGGGGAGCTAACGATTTGCACCTCCATGAGGAAATGGTTCGAAGTCACGCATTCACATTCCAAACCCACAATCCCGCCCGTCTTCACAACTCGCTGCGGTCCAGAACCACTGGCGTGTAGAAGAACAATGTAACGCCATCGACATCCTCAGAGAATAGCATTTATTAAATGCCAAATCACACATCAGATCCTGGTGGAAGCGTGCATTCTAGAGCTAAGAGTGTTCAGAATACACCGAAATTGGTAAAATCAAAATATTAGACAAGTGCACGTGACATTCTTCCGAGTTATCCAAACGAACTAGAGCTTGCCGCATATTCTTAGTTATATAAATGTGCATTTATGTTATATCCCCAGCCTCTTCAGGCTGTTAATGCAAGGAGGGATGTCAAAAAATAAAAGATGAAAACCCTGTAGTAGTTAGATGGGCCGTGAAAAGATGGGTAATGATCATTCTGACATCGGATGGATAGCGTGCTCAATCTACAAAACTAAAACAGATGAATATACATGCTTCAAATGAGAATCACTTAGTTACATTTTTAACAGATGGTCAAAGCAAAAACACTTTATTACTGAAATAGTATAAAGATAACATTCAAAATAGATTAATTAAATATAAGCTATTATCTACCTTGTACAGATTACTTTGAGAAGAATCTGGTATCAGATTGTGTAACATTCTACAGACATCAGAACAATGACCATTATATGGAATCTCAGAAGTCAAAAACTCAAAACACGATTAACTGTGAAGTATCACTTATTTTAATTCCCTCTATACTGGATTAGTCATTTTCTGTGTTAAATGGGGAGATGTGAATAGCCAATTATTTTGAGTCCAACTCCTTTGAGATTAACAACTAAATCCTACATCTTCCTTAGTTATAAACTGTTGACATCCGAACTCTACTGAAATAATGCTGTTTGTTTCAATGATGGCTGTTAATACACTCTGATATTCAGGCGATCACATTAAGGACTTGTTTGATACACCTTTTCATCTATGCATCAACAACAGAAACCACATTTGTTCAAGAGTCAATTTCTTCAGTACAAAGTTCTCACCCTGCGCACTATGTCAACATCCATGCTGCAAAAAGTAGTGAACCAACGTTCGCAACAATAAATTTCAGCATTTCTCATCCCTATATTAACTTTGTTAATACTGACATACTAAGCTAATATCTCTGAGTTCATGACAAACTGTGAAATCGATCTCTATCAGTCAACGCTATCAACAGAAAGGTGAAAAAACCATCATCATAAAAACAGCATGGAAAAAATTTAAAAAAAAAAACAGCATGGATCTCATTGGTGGACTGACCAACATTTTGGGCTCAGAGACGCTTGAATTACACCCAGCAAATGTTTTTTTTTTTTCTTTTCCAGCAAATGTATTTAAGTGCAAGTGCACAATAAGGCAACACCTGAAAATATGCCTCTTTCACAGTAACTGACAAAGTTTTTTTTTTTTTAATTTTTAAATTCTTTTGCATCCCAGTCATTAACAATGAGTATTACACCAAAGGGCATTTTAATTACACTCATGTGTATGTTAATATTTTTATAAAAGTAAAAAAAAATAAAAAATAAAAAAATAAAATAAAAGTACTGTTTTTCTCATCTCTTGTGGAGGTTTGGCATAACCTTACAAAATCTGGAAAATAAAAATGTAAAACATGAGTTTGTGAAGGAAGCCTCATCTGGAAAGGTGACTTCCCATACTGAGGTACAAAACAGCATTTATGGCATAAATTCTCACCTTCCCCCATACTGTTGTAGGAGCAAAGGAAAGCATGGCAGCTTCCGTCTTTTATGTCAGCCCTATTCTGTCCAAGTCCTTCTAAGATAGCCTTCCCTACTTTCTGCAGCAACTGCGCAAGTAGGGGCCTCTTTCCCAATTTCATCTCCTGCCCTGTAACCCTGTTCAGTCAGCTGAAACAAGAGAACTCCTAATAATGTGATGACACAGAAGCAGGAAAGCTGGTGGGTAGTGCTTTCTGGAATTCAGCACAGATTATTATATCCCAAAGTTGCCTAATAAGAAGTTGAACTGGAGGGACGCCTGGGGCTCAGCGGTTGGGCGTCTGCCTTCAGCTCAAGACGTGATCCCGGGATCTGGGATCGAGTCCCACATGGGATTCTCTGCGAAGAGCCTGCTTCTCCCTCTGCCTATGTCTCTGCCAATCTCTGTCTCCCATGAAAAATAAATAAATAAATAAATGAATGAATAAATGAATAAATAAATAAATAAGAAATTAAACTGGAGAGCATCTTTCTATATACAATTCTAAGCTCCCCAGAGACTTGCTGAAGAAGAACCTACAGATGACCTTACTTTTTAAGACCCTAAAGCCCCAACACACTGGTGTCTCATATTGAATGGAGACATCAGAAACAGTTAAGTGTGACCCTGACATTCAGAGCACAGGGTCTCAACTGGAGATCTGCAAACAAGAAACAAGAAAAACAAAAAGGGGAATAGGAGTGGGTGAGCTGGGTTAGGGTCTCCATTTCCCTCACTCACCAGGAGTATTTTCTTACCTCTAAATGATGATAAGAGCTTACAGCAGTAGCCATTATTTTTTTGTATACTCAGTTCCCAATCTGCTGTTCTGTAGAAAGACCACATCTTCCAGGTACTACTCTCCTAAAGAGGTCTATTATTGATCACCAGGTTCCCCAGTGATAACTCCACTTTAGTCAATGGTGTGTACTTCTATACTATTTCAGTAGAATAAGACCATTCTGGCATCCTGATCAAAAGTTCATTAAAAACCAGTTTTGCTGATGGAAACACAATTTTTAAAGAGACACTGTGTGAATGTATATTTGCAAGATTCCCTGGTTTTTTAACATTAGTGACCATTCCATTCAATATTTTGCTCCTATATTTATATGTAAAGCAGTATCTAAAGACCTATGTATTGCCAAATAGTTTGGTTAAACTCTTAGCCATTTCCCATATGTATTTTTCTTTGGAGATGAGAAGGGCATGTTTTTTTAACCAAAATCCAACTAAAACCATAAAGACTGTACTCTGTAGAGTTGCAATCTCTGATCCGATCATAGGGATAGGAGTTTGAACTGGAAGTCCTAGGGAATCTTTCTGTTGCTTTATTACCATACATGTTAAGTCAGGCTCAGGCTTGGAATAAAGCACAAAGGTAGTTAAAAGGTTCTAGGATGCATGTGCACAGGGTAGCCTCCACGATGACCATTCTTAACCACCCATCTCAACCTTCCTGGCTGCTGGCAGTCCTAACACAAATACCAACACATAACAGGGTTAAGAATGTCAATCTTCAGCACCAGAGAGACCCAAGGTTAAATGCCAGCTTCAGCACACAGCCATTTTTATCTAGGCAAGATACTGACTTTACCTCTGTGGGCTTCAGTCTCCTCATTTATGAAACAAGGATAGCCTTTCCTCTGTCAGATTTATCCTGAAGATCAAATTAGGTAATACATCTAAATCATCTAGCATGTTCATTAAATAGTTACTATTATTCACAGAAAGGCAGGTAGTGTACTTTGGTAGAGACTTAGAGGTAAATCCTTTCAGAGAGGAGAAAGTATCTTCCCCTTGATCAAGTCCTGGCAACAGAAGGCTACAGTCAGAGCCAAAATTCCTTGTAAATGAGTCACAAAGGCCAGTAGCATCAGATCTGAGAATGGAAACTCTACAGATACTAATAGCCATCATAGTAGCAACTTGTCCATGTATTTGGGAACTTTTCATCTCAGGTATAAAAGCTTCTAAACCACATCAGAAATTCACACGTGACATGCCATCCCTTACAAATGTTACATTCCAATAATTACAGACCAAAAAGTGTAAGACAGATACCAGCGGATTACTTTCCCAGATAATAAATCTGCAGACCTGGCAAAAAAAAAAAAAAAAAAAAAAAGGAAAGAAAGAAAATTCTCTTTCTTCTAAAACTTACTTAGAAACCATGTAACAAAATTAAAGGAACTTCTAGCAAAACTTTCATTTTAATGAAAACTAATATAAAAAAATTCATTATCATTCTTTAGTTCATACAAATGGAATGTGAACAGTGAGTGAGTTACTGAGTTAGAATCCTGGCTGTGTCATTGATTATGCTTCCTCAGTTATAAAATAGAAATTATATAGTACCTAAAGCAAGGTTGTGCTGGAGACAAAGTGACATGTGACATAGAATGCATGTAAAGTCCCTAGCACATAAAGAGTAACTGGTCCCCAGTTTTCAGTATACATACTGAAAAGTACAGCATTAACAACAACTTAGTTTATTTACATGGTGGTTTTTTTATGTTTTTGCTGATGAACAATGAGATGTATATACAACTTGAAACTTTTCCCACACATGGTACATTTAAAAGGTTCCTCTCCTGTGTGGCTCTTCTGGTGGCAAGCAAGCTCTGAATCCAAAATAAAACTTTTTGCACATGTTTTGCATTTGTGGGGTTTTTCCCCTCTATGAATGCTCTGATGGGAAATTAGCTCAGAGACACGAAGGAAGGTCATCGTACACTCAGGACATTTTAAGGGTTTGAATTTTGAGAACAAAAGCATATTTTCCCCACAGTCGCTGCAGTGTTCAGAGTCATCTTCATGTCCCTGCTCAGGAAGGATAAGATGCGAGGGCTTCCCAAAGCACTTCACACACTGAGCGCAGTCGTACTGGGTGGCTAATGTGTGTGTTTTCTCATGCAGAGCAATATTTGTTTTCTGACCATATTTACTGCAGTCAGTACATTCACAGGCTTTTTTAGTAGTGTGGATTTTCTGATGCTGTGACAATCCTAGGAGCCACAAAAAACCTCTCCCACAAATGCCACATGTGTAGGGTTTCTCCTTTACGTGGACATTCATGTGCCGAGACAAATGTGAGTGCTGGCGGAAGCTGCTGCCACACTCAGCACATTTATAGGGCTTCTCGCCAGTATGGATTCTCCTGTGTGTCCTCAGGTTGGCTCTATGATTGAAAATTTTCCCACAGTCACCACATTTATGTTTTTTCTCCCCTGAATGAGTTTGCTGATGCAAAACAAGGTATGAATTATCACTGAAGCTTTCATCACATTCAGGACACTTGTACAAATTTTTGGCTTCTTCCCCGGGAAATTCAAGAATTTCAGAAAGTGCTTTGGTTCCTAAACATTGAGATAGTTCTAGTAATGGGGTTTGGTTTTCAATGGTAACTAATAGGCTTCTAAACCTCTTCTTGCAAGCAGGAGCTCCACCTGATACTTTTCTTTCTGGGTCTCCAACTCCAGTTTCAGATTTTTCTGGGTAATAGACAAGGGGCACAGCGATGGAGTTTTCTGGGGAAAGTTCTTCAAATCCCGTAGACTCTAGATTTAACTGCTGTGGAATCTCAGTCTTGCCTTCCCCTCCTGTTGATAAAAACAAAACAAAGCAAAACATAGACAACACCCTCAAGAGGTGCTGAGGGAAAGAACATGCTAGTTACACAGGGACCAAGAATCTGTAGATGGCTTATCCTAGAACCCAGGCACCAATTTTATACAAAATCAGGCCAGCAGGCTCTACTGACTTTCCAGAGGTGATCCTGTGAGGGAGGAAATGGAAAAGAGTTGCAACTAAGTCAGGGTCCAGTGGGATAGGAACAAAGGCAATCTTGGTAGCCATTGTTTAGAGGAAGTTTCCAGTTAGTCTCCTGAGTCTCAAAAACCTTTCATCATTTAAGTAATCTGAAGTGACCACTGAGCAACCACAATTGGAATATGAGACTGGAAGTCATATATAAGAGAGAAAGAGAGCAAGTGGCTATTTTCTACCTAGCAGATAAACACTCTGGTTATTAGAAATAGTGTTATTGTCACCCGGAGAGTTCTTCAAAATTTCTTTACCTGTCCTGGAGGAGAGATCAAGGTAGAGCTACCATGCATACAACAGCCAAATGGTAACTGGTCTCACTGCTAGGATGGCTAACAAAACTTGGGCCTGCCAAAAAGCATTCTTCTGTAGTATCTGTCCAAATATTCTTAATTTATAAGGCTACATATCAATATAAAAGGGGTCTCTCCTTACCAAGAAACAGCCCTAGGACTGCCCAGAAAGGATTTCTGGGCTGCAGTGTAGTGTGGATATCCAAATGATAGCCAGTAGTTTTGCTGATTTGAGGAGAGCAAATTCAGGGATTACGAGATGGCTAGAATTTGACAACAAAATACTAGGGATGAGGCAGGTGCCCAGGCACCATCTAGGTAGGGCACCATTAAGACCTGGGCTGAATATTAACCTGTAAGTGCACATGAGGAAACTATCCCAGACTGGGAAAAGAACCATCAATAGGAACAGACAATTTTTAGAGTTCACATCATACATAGTTCAATAGTTATGTTCCTGCCAGCCAAGGTGGAACACACAAGGCATTAGGCAGTATCCTCAGAAAGACAATGGTTCAGCAGCAGGTTAAACTGGCCCTAGACTAAAGGCTGCTCTGTATACATCCTAACAAAGCAAAAAGCAAGCCCTGAAAGGATCTTACTGATCCCAAGTAACTTAAATGCAAGGTCCAAAAATATTTTAAAAACAACAAAAGCCAACTATGCAACAACATAAAATTCACAATGTCCAGCACCCAATCAAAAATGATCAGACATGTGAAGAAGCAGAAAAATATGACCCATAACTAGGAGCATAATCAATGAACAGAAACAGACTCAGAAATGACACAGGTGATAAAACTAGAAACAATGTTAAAATAGCTATACCTACACTTCTTATGTTCAAAAAGGTAGAAGGAAATGCACATGATGAAGAGAGAGGTGGAAAATATAAAACATAAGTTATGATGTCATTCCAAGAGCCAACCCTAGTCAGAGACAAACTCTATGTGGGATCGTTTCTGCATATAGTTTCCCTTATGTGAAAATGGCATGGAACCCCCTTAAGAGTAAATCAATTTTGAATCTTTAGCAAATGATAGTAACCTATCCTTATGAGGTTTTGAAAGCAAAATTGTTAGTCACTATAACAGATACTATAACAAATACTTGGGAAGATTACCAGATACCATCAGGTCTCATGCAAAAACCAGTCACTGTACTCAATAGGATTTTTTTGTCTTAAGAGATCATTTCATTGTTTGAAAAACTCATTGTCAAGCAAGTTCTTGTCATATCCACATAGATCTCCCAGAGACAGGTCCCATGCCCCCATACCAACATGTGAATGAGACATGAAATCCTGTCCTAAAAATGACCAAAGTTCCAAAATGCAGGAAAAACAACTGTCTTACCCATCAAGGCCATGTCCTCGAAACACTCCAGTGTAGTGTCTCTGCTGAGGGACCTCTGGGCAGGGTACAAACTCACACACTCCTCTTGAGAAAAATATACAGCCAGGTCCTCAAACAGCAATGGCCCCTGAAACAACATGAGAGCCCATCTCAGGACAAGAGGCCCCAAGACCACCTCCTTACTCGGTTTGAGAAGACACCAGAGCTAGAAACATTAGAACCCAGGGAGAAAGGGACGTGGCACTAAAAGGTTCCTGAGTGCTGGGGATGGTGTATAAATGGGTTCTAAGGGTGATGGTGGAAATTGGGAAGGAGTAAAAGGACATAATTTTTGAGGCAGTGGTATAAGGGCCAAAACAGTAAACTGTAAAAAGTTCTAGAAGAGACTTCTAGAAAAGATGAGGGACCTCTCAGGAAGGGAAACCATCACATATGACGCTCTAAGGGAAAGAAGACTGAGCAGCCCAGGAAGAAGCATGAAAAGGGACAGGGGTTCCGGTGTTCTCCCAACATCCTTCTGCTTGCTAGTCTCTCCTTCTTGCACATGACACTCACTGCTAAGCTCTCTTTAGAATCACATCCAGGCCTAGTCCTGCTTCCCTATTTTAACAGTCTTACAAACCAATAGAACCTCGACGATTAAGAATCTCCTGGGATGGACAGCTCAGGTGGCTCAGCGGTTTGGCGCCGCCTTCGGCCCAGGGCCTGACACAGAAAACCCAGGATCGAGTCGCGCGTCGGACTCTCTGCATGGAGTCGGCTTCTCCCTGGGCCTCTGTGTGTGTGTGTCTCACGAATGAATAAATAAATAAAAATCTTAAAAAAAAAAAAAAAAAAAGAATCGCCTGGGTTGGGGATCCCTGGGTGACTCAGCGGTTTAGCGCCTGCCTTCCGCCCAGGACGTGATTCTGGAGGTCCCGGATTGCGTCCCACATCCGGCTCCCTGCATGGAGCCTGCTTCTCCGTCTGCCTGTGTCTCTGCCTCTTTGTGTCTCTCGTGAATAAATAAATAAAATATTTTAAAAAAGGAATTGCCTGGGGTTTTTGTTTGTTTCCGTGTTTATTCAAAAGATATGGGATGACCCTAGAATTCTGCACGTTTGAGCAGGATTCCAGAAAATGACTGAGGTCCTCTGATAGCTTTCTCCAATGGGCCCTGCTCCCGGTTGGCGGTTCTGAAAGGAAACGGAGGGATACACCGTTTCTCCCACATGCCTGGTCTAGGAGAAAAGACAGCTTGGTCAAAGGGCTACTGGGACTGGGAGCCCTCCCACCGAGACGGGCATTCCCAACCCTCTTCAAAGGAGGGCAGGCAGAGGCCGGACAGTAGCAGCAGGAACAGGGACCTGGTCTTACCTGGGCCCCGGTTGCTGGGAGCGCGGACGCCATCCCCGTGGGGTGGGAGTGCCTTCCTCAAGTGGCTACACTGACTTCAGGACAGATCTGGGAGGGGAGAGAAGGATCCTCAGAGGGGCCAACGTGGCTGCAAAGCCCCTAATGCACTCCCAAGGCTTCCTCGCTTTCACAACCCCTTTAAGACCTGAGCCGACCGCTCCTCTCCGCAGCCCAGCCTCGGAGGGCATGACTCTCAGACCGGCCAGGTCCCACCTTCCGCTCCGAGACTGGTGATCTTAGAAAGCCTCCCGCCACCCCTGCCAGAAATAGCACATGGCTACGCCCGACCCGCACTCCTGACGGGAAACCGGAACCATTGCGAGGCTCCCACGCTCCTCGACGCTGGAGCTGCTGGGAAAACCGCCGGAAACGGCCCGCCCCCTTGTTTTTACAAAACTCTACCCTGTGATTGGTTAGCGGTACTCCGAAGGGGGCAGTCTTTCTCGTGTGTTGACCAATCAAGTCCGTTAGCGGAGGACCGATGGCTCACGGGGCATGCTGGGAGATGTAGTTTTCCGCCCGTCTCTCGAAGTAAGTATTTCCGGTTCCTGTGCCTGGGTCTCCCGCGTGAGCTCCTGCCGGCTTAACCTGCAGCTAGTAGGGAGGAGGTTAAGAGGTCGGGTGACCTCTAAGCGAGGTAATGTTGCAGGGAAAAAGAAAAGCAAGAAGATAGGGAGACTCCAGAACTCGAAAGACTATTGGCACCGAAATGTGGGTCCAGTCAGGGTGAGGTGAGTGGTCAGGAGTGCAAGTCCTAGCCTTGGCCTGAGCAGTCAAGTCTTCTGTGTCTTGGGCTGACTCTGAGGCTGTGTAGTGAAAAGGAGTGTGTTCTGCGTCGACAAAGTTCAGATCAGTTTCGGCCAGGTTGCTAGTCTCCGACCCAGTGCATTGTGGGGCCATTGTGCCCCGCGACTGCAGCCCCGCCGAGCCAGGTCAGGCTCAGAGCCACAGCCGACGTCAACCCGGAGTAGAGCCGTTGGCTTGCTTCTCAAGACTCCGTATGCCTTCTGATACCTCACATTCGACCTGTACCATGGCCGCATATTTTACACCTTGCTGTGCCGTGATGTAGGGATTTGGAATTTTAAATTGGGCTCCATCCCAAGCTATGCCACTGATTGCTTGGGTCATCTTGGCCAATATACAACTTTGCTTTCCTCAATGCAAAGACTTCCAAATGCTTCTCCTCAGAGAGTAATTTCAAATAAGTTGTCAGTTTACAAAGCTGAAAAAGCAAGGATGATAGGTACCTTAATAGAAAATTCTTGGTAAGTCTCTCTCTCTCTCTTTCTGTCTATCTGTCTATATATATATATATATTTAAAGATTTTTATTTTATTATTTATTCATGAGAGACAAAGAGAGAGAGTCCGAGTCACAGGCAGAGGGAGAGGCAGGCTCCATGCAGGGAGCCTGACGTGGGAGTGGGACTCCATCCGGGATCTCCAGGATCAGGCCCTGGGCCGAAGGCAGGCGCTAAACCGCTGAGCCACCCGGGCTGCCCCTATTTTCTTATTCTAGTGCCAAACATGTGCCAAGATCTAAAAGATTATTCAATAAATGATTGCATGATTATTGAAACAATATTATCAGAAATGACAAAATAAGGAGTGGGAAGAGGTAGACTATCAGGACAGTTTCATCTGCAAATAACAGAAAACCTAACAGAATTACATTCAAAAGTAGGGCAGGTACAGGCTGTTTAATTCAGTGGCTCAATGACACCAGCAAGGTCCCAATATTTCCCTGTTTCTTCTCTGTCTCCATAGCATATTGGCGAAAGTGAAAATGAAATCCACATAATAAATGCAGACATGCATTAGGCCAGGTATCCATCCTAAACTAACTATTATCAAGGGTAAGAAGACTATACCTACCCTAATTGGTTTGGACCAACCATAGTTCATTCCCTGGAACTGGGGGAAGGACCCAGCCTCCCCTGGCCAACTACCTGCACAATATTAGGGCTCTGTTGGAAAAGAAAAAGAAGGAAGCAGAACAGATGTAACAGAGACACTAAGAGTGTCTGCCACAAGTGACATTGACATAAAAGAGCTAGGCCTTCTGGGAATGGGTCACAAAAGAGGTATCTGGGGGTCTCAGGGGGAAGGAAAAAGCTGGTGAAAGGACAGGTGGCAAAATGATAAAGGAAAAACTTCCCTACAGGCATATAATTCAGTCTTACTCTTTCAGTCTTGGTCTCTCTTTACACTTAGCAAGATTAATCTTTCAAGCTCCTTTCTTGATCTACCTGTTTAGTTTTGGTAGTTAGAGGGTCTAGGGAAGATTTTGTTTCCTCTCCCATTTCAAAGATAACCCTCTCTCTCTGGTTATCCAATGAGTTAATACCACAAGCTTCACTTCTGATCATTGGAAACTGTGTTTATTTCTTTGTAATGAGATCAAAGTTCAAAGGTAAGAGCCACGGGGCACCTGCATGGCTCAGTGGTTGAGCCTCTGCTTTTTGCTCAGGTTGTGACCCCAGGGTCCTGGGATGGAGTCCCGCATGGGTTTCCCTGCAGGGAGCCTGCTTCTCCCTCAGTCTGTGTCTCTGTCTCAATCTCTGTGTCTCTCATGAATAAATAAATAAATAAATAAATAATATATATATATATATATATAAAGGTAAGAGCCACAAGAGCCTCTTGTTCTTGGTGAAAGGGCCAAAAATCAAAATCAGGAGAATCTGAGCCCTAGATGAGATATCCCTGACATAAGAATAGCATTAAATACAAGCACAAAGGGAGAGGGGGAAAGATGACTACTTGAACACTACCATGATTCTATGAAGAATATGCCTTCAGGTTAGACCATGTACCAGGCTGTTAGCTCTTCTTTAACGTTTATGCTTTGGATTGGTCTAGCCTTTAGGGAAGTGACCCAGGCAGATGTTCAACCACTGAGCCACCCAGGTGTCCCACAGCCTTTGTATTCTTTGTGAGATGTAAATACTACCTGGGAAATTGGCAGGGCCATATCAGGATGTACCAGAAGAATGTAAATAAGGAACATCAGCATTTTCTCCCAACTTCAGCAAGAGGCTTTTCTCGCAGAAATCCAAAAGGCCTGACTGGCAGTTAGAAACCTGGGCTCACTAGTATCCACTAGTATCCATTTGCTAATGAAGGGAATGATGGATGCTGATCATGCCTGCAGGATTTACCGTCACCAAGAGCTAGAGGCTCGGGGCTCCAGTGTCCTGGGATTGAGCCCACAGCGGGTTCCTTGCTCAGCCAGGGAGTCAGCTTCTTCTGCCCCTCCCCCTACTTGTGCTCTCTTGCTCTCTATTGAATGAATGAATGAATGAATGAATGAATAAAATCTTTTTTTAAAAAAAAGGAAAAGCAAGAGACTTTCATGACTTTGGGGCTAGGATTATTTCTAGCTGGGCAGGAATTCCTTCATTAGAAAGAGGCTCAAAAAAGAAAAAGAAAGGAGCACCTGGGTGGCTCAGTCGGTTCACTGTCTGCCTTAGGCTCAGGTCATGATCTCATGGTCCTGGGACTGAACCTGCATCGGGCTCCCTGCTCAATGGGGAGCCTGCTATTCCCTTTGTCCCTCCCCCTGCTCATGCTCTCTCTCTCTTTCTCATTCTCAAATAAATGAAATCTTTTAAGAAAAAAGAGAGAAGGGAGGAAGGAGGAAAAAAGAGAAAGAAAGAGCAAGGAAGGAGAGAGGGGGAAAAAGGAAGGAAGCAAGCTCTACGCTCTAAGTTGGGCTTCCAAAATACTAATTCTATTACCAGAAAGTGGTTTTACTCTGTGTCGATTCTAACAGAATTCTTTCTGTCACTGAGGCTAGAAATGCTTCCAAAGGAAGATTCTGGACCTACAGATACTGATTGATTCTTGCAAATAGAAGCTGTAAGCAGAGACTCTTGGAAGATAATGAGATCTATAGAGCATCCAGGTTAGGCATGCTCAGTGAGGACGGAGAAGGAACAGTGGATGGGGAATAGATGAGAAGACTCCATGCTTAGACAACTAATTTCCCCCCAAAGGACCCTTCAGATGGAGCGTTCTGAAATCATGGGTTTAATTGTCTGAGACACTTGGCTCAGGAGTGAACAAAGGTGGCATGGCATGGCCAGTAGGGAAGTGATGGGCCTTGCCTCTTTGTCCCCTGGAGCAGACAGAAAGGCTGTACGTGAGGAACAAGACAGAGAGCCAGCCAGAGTGGGAAAAGTTAGAGTGAGCTAAAGCCCACTGTGTCTTGCTGTGGATGGTGCACTCCAAGTCAGAGGAAACCTACTCAAATGAAACTCATTTTATTAGTCAATATTTCTAAAATTATCAATACTGAATGATAGAGGGGGCTAGTAAAACATATACTTTTGCTTTGCTTTTACATGCTCCTTAAAAGGAGCATATTATTTTATAAAGTAATTTGTCCCTAGTATGTGGATTATGAGGTTTAAAACTTTTCATACCAGGGACACCTGGGTGGCTCAGCAGTTGAGCGTTTGTTGAGCATCTGCCTTTGGCTCAGTGCGTGATCCCATCCCAGGGTCCCAGGATTGGGTCCCCGCATCGGGCTTCCTGCATGGAGCCTGCTTCTCCCTCTGCCTATGTCTCTGCCTCTGTGTGTGTGTGTGTGTGTGTGTGTGTGTGTGTGTGTGTGTGTCTCATGAATAAATAAAATCTAAAAAAAAGACAAAATAAAAAACTTCATACCATTCGACCTTGTAAATCTAATTGTAAATTTCTATCTGTATTAGTTGGGCATCTGATTTCATTAACTATACACAGACACCCAGAGTAACGTTGACTTGAACAAATGGAAAAATATTTTCCTCTCTAATTCAAGCCAGTATGACAGCTGTGCCCTGGAAAGCTTCTAGGGGCCCAGACTCCCTCTGCTTTGCGCTTCGCTTCCCGTAGGGTATTTTCTGTCATGACTCTCAGACTCCCAGTCCAGCTTGGCTCACCAGCATGTCTCAGTTGCAGCCAGCAGGAAGAGGAAAAGCAGGGCATGTCCCTTTCTTTACGGGGCAGAACTGGAAGGTTGTACCTGCCACTTTGGTTCACATCCCATTAGCTAGAACTTAGTTACATGGTTAGAGAAACACGCTTCAGTCAACAGAGGCTAGGAAACATAATATTTATGCTGGATAGCCCATGCCCAGCTAAAAAGCACAAGTTAAATCAAGATGAGAAAGAAGCACAAAGTAGACATTAGGGGCAACTGGCAAAAAGTGCCATGTTCTCCTAAGGAAATGTGTTGAAAATGGAAAATCACAAAGGTGTTTACTGCAGAATTATGTAGAGTGGAGAAAAATTGGAAATGATCTAACGTGTAAGTAGTAGTTTTCCTCTTAGGAGGAAATACTGCAGCCAATTAACATGTTACTTATAAGGAATTTTAAGTAATATGGAGAAATTCTAACATTAATTTTTTAAAAAGGAATGCATAACTAGATGTAAAATACTATCATTATTAAAAATGTACTGAAGAACAGCAATAAGGAGACATGCAAATGCTGAATGATCATCTCAGGTTGGTTTCCATAGCTGCAAAATAGGAACATGAGTGTAACTATTTCTTGTGTTTTTGCAGTGATTAAATGAGATACTATATGACACAACACTCTAGCATAAGAGAAGTGCTCAACAGTGTGAGCTTTATTATTGAAAAGATTTTTAGGAGCGCCTGGGTAGCTCAGTTGTTTGGGCATCCAACCCTTGATGTCAGCTCAGCTCTTGATCCAAGGGTCAGTGAATTCAAGCCCTGTGTTGAGCTCCATGCTGGACATGCAGCCTACTTTTTAAAAAAGATTTTAAATAAAGTTGTGATATATTGGTCCTTTAGCAATCAGACACATCAACATAGTCCACATGGAGCTTCCTGTAATGACATGTTTCCCAGGAACTTGGAAGAAGGAGAATAAGGCTGAACTCTGAGAATTAAGCTGAGAAAACCAAGATGAAGTCAACTTTTGTAGAAATAAGAAATAACTTTAAGCAAAGCCTGGGAAGTTAATGAGGTTGTGATGTGTGGGTCTAAAAAGGAATGTGTTTACAGAAGGGCCTTATCTCAATGGGACCCTGGCATCCTCCTGACGCTGCTCAAGGCAACATTGAACGTATGGGACAAGTGTTCCTGACACTAGAGAAGGGTCTGCTGTGTTGGACCATGGCCTGAGTAAAAAATCTCCCTTAAGACTGTTTCCCTGGGGGACCTGGGTGGCTCAGTGTTTGGGTGTCTGCCTTTGGCTCAGGGCATGATCCTGGGATCAAGTCCCGCATTGGGCTCCCTGCGTAGAGCCTGCTTCTCCCTCTGCCTGTGTCTCTGCCTCTCTCTCTGTGTCTCTCATGAATAAATAAAATCTTTAAAAAAAAAAAAAAAAGACTCTCTGTTTCCCTTTCTTGTATACCCTACTCACCAAGAACTTCCTGATTAGCAATCTAGCTTCCCAGGAACCCTAATAGAAGAAGAGGCACCTGGAGCAGGAATAGGGGTATTCCAGTGACCCTTTACCTTAAAAAGGTAACCCAGCATTTGGCTTAAGCCTCAGTCTTTTGTGAGTTTGAGCAGTAAACCCAGTCTCAGGGTGCATTGACAACCGAACTGGAGAACCAGACCCTCCCAATATGCTGGCCTGACCCTTCAAGACCGGGCTAAGTGTCCAGATGGTTGTCCTCTGCTACTTCTGTCTTGGTTCCATTGTAGCAAGCAGGATCATCCTGCAGCAAGGTGATCTACTTGCAGCATTTTACGCCAAAAGGGAATTTCTTTGGAAGCAAGATATTTGGTTCTTGGTTGTAGTGGCTTCGAGTCGGGCTCAACCCCAGGACTTCAGGATCATGACCTGAACCAAAAGCAGATGCTTAACTGACTGAGCCACTCAGCGCCCGGGCGTGCATACTTCTAAAAAAAAAAAAAAAGCTTTTGTCAAGGGAGCCTGGGTGGCTTACTTGGTGAAGCGTCTTACTCTTGATCTTGGCTCAGGTCTTGATCTCTGGGTCGTGAGTTCAAGCCTCACATCGGGCTCCACACTGGTTTATGGGGCCTGATGTGGGAAACAAAGGCGAAAGGAAAACTTAGATTTCCTTGCTGCTTACAGCCCACTGACAAGTCCTTGAAACAGGCAGAGTGACCATCTTCTAGAAACTCAACTGCCTCGATGTTGACACCTTGGTAAAGGCAAAAAACAATCTTAGCCTGGCCTCCCTCCTCCTCCAGGATCCTGTAAGTCTACTTTAGAAATTCCTTTGGAAATGTCTTTTATTTCTACCCTCCAAGATTTGTTAGCAATCATCCCCCAAGCATATGACCCACTGATATACATCTGAGGGGTCTCACGACTCAGGTTTTATTAGATAGTAATAAATGACTTTTACCTAAAAATAGCAAGCCCCCTTAGGATCCTGGAAGCCTTGTTTCCAAAATTCTTTGGAGGCTTGTGCTGTCCTTAACCCCCTCCCAACTTGAAACCAACTTGTGATCCCAGTGTCCCTCTTCCTGCCCACAGGTCCTATGCTCCTGCTTTAATAAAACCACCTTTTTGCCCCAGAGAGGCATCTCAATTCTTGGCCATTGGTTCTGAACCCCACCACTTCAAACCATATCAAAACCTACTTTAAGATTTTATTTATTCATGAGAGAGAGAGAGAGGCAGAGATTCAGGCAGAGGGAGAAGCAGGCTCCATGAAGGGAGCCTGACGTGGAACTCGATCCCGGGACTCCAGGATCATGCCCTGGGCCGAAGGCAGGCACCAAACTGCTGAGCCACCCAGGGATCCCCTAAATAAAATCTTTAAAAGAAAATTTTCAACCCTGAATATTTGAAAGAATAATGCAACAAACACTTTTGTACCTGCCAACTTAGCTTCACCAGTTGGTGACATTTATGAAATTTGCTTTTCAGGACACAACACAGAAGTTGCCTGCATCACATTCACTCTTGTCCATCGGCACTAAGTTTGGCCTTCAGCCTTTCCTTGCTGCAAGGGAGCCTGGGAAATACTCTGACAGCTATTCGCTTGCTGTAGGGGGTGGGGTTCTATTACTACAAGAAAATGTGATAAAGCAGTTATTGGAGGAGAAGAATACAATAGAGATTAGATGACAGCCACCTCTGACACATTGAGTCCTCACATCTTGTAGCCAGTAGTTCTTTCAGAAGTGGGTTCTGGAAAGATCCAGGCTAAATTGCAGCCCATCTCTAGAAAGTATATAGGACTTCAAAATGCATTGTACACACCTGGCTCATTCTTGATGGCTGTCCTGCCCTCATTTTTCTTGATGTACTGCGTGGACCTTTCTAATCAATCTTACAACTTTTTTTATTTTTTTGCAACAAATTTAATTTCTAAATAATTAATGACACACTAAATATAATTGTGTGGAGTGCTCAAAATGTTCTGAACGGGACACAGCATCTTTGTTTCCAATAGCATGTTTGCAGTGCTTAAGCCTGTAACTGTGGAGAGCTGTAGAGTATGATATTCATTTTCATTTTGTCCAACTGTTATTTTAGCTTTCTTTAAAAACCCGGGAACTGACAGAAACTGCTACAAAAAGGAAATATAAGTACAGGTTGTTTTATATAAGTCTAGATTCCATCAGCCACTACACAATAAATTATTCCTTGGGTTTTTTTGTTTGTTTTTTTGATAGTCACAGAGAGGAAGAGAGAGAGAGAGAGAGAGAGACACAGGCAGAGGGAGAAGCAGGCTCCATGCACCCGGAGCCCGACGTGGGATTCAATCCCAGGTCTCCAGGATCGCACCCTGGGCCAAAGGCAGGCGCCAAACCAGTGCGCCACCCAGGGATCCCTCCTTGTTGTTTTATATTGCCTATTACACTGCTCTTGGTCTATTTATACCAGTTACTTTTAAAACTTTTCATCTAATTAGATAGTTTTTCCTTTTCAAAATGTAAAAAAGAATATGTCTTTAGCTTGTCTAAAATAGTGTTAATTAAAAAAAATAAAATAGTGTTTATACTTTTGATGTGTGATAACGTTTATTTTCTTGGATGTGAATTAAATTCTTTTAGGGTGGATCATTGTAGCCTTTGGCTGTAAGCAGGGCTTTTTATTCCATGCTTTGGCTGTGTGGTCCACTTTTATTCGAAGGCAAAGAATAAACTCCTGCTTTAAAGTTACTATCAGATGTTGCTCAACACGAGTTCCTAGTAACAGAGCTGGAGTTTGATCCTGTACCTTGAGCGCAACCGACCCCAGCCCACTGGCACAGCAACAGCCCTCAACAGTCCGTGCGCGGAGACGGCCTGGCCGGGGGCGGCGTCGCCGGGCGCCAGGGAAGGTGCTGCCTGCCAACCGGGTCCAGGCCACCACGCCTCCCCGGCTGGACGCGCCGCCGGGCTCCGGGGATGGAAAAGCCCGAGCCCAAACGAGCAGAGCGTCAGCCCGGGGCTGGACGGCGGGGAGCAATCCCCTCCATAAGGCCCGACCCGGCCGGCTTCCACCGGGGCGGCGACACCCGCGTCCTCGCTCGCCCGCTCGCAGGGTCCGCGCCGCGGTCACCGCCGCCGGCCGCCGGCCCTCGCCGGAGGCCTGCCCGCTCCTAAGATGGCAGCCTCGGCGTCGGCGTCCCACGTGGGGGCCGGCGGCCAATGGGCTTCCGGCCTGCGCCGCCGGCCCGGCGCGGGAGGCGGAAGTGCCGCGGGCCGCCGCCTCCGTCCCGGCTGCGGCCCCTGCCGGTTACATAACTCGTTTAGGGCTCCGCGCGGCCCCGCGTCTCGGCTGCCTGCCACCCCAGGATGCGCTGAGCCCCACGACGGCGTCCGCTGCCGCCGGCTCCCGCCCGAGGTGAGGTTCCCCCGGCTCGGGCCTGCGGTGGGACAGGGGTCGTGAGGGAGGCGAGGAGCCGCCGGGACCCGGGCGGCGGGGGCCCGAGTTGGCCGCGGCGGGGCGCGGGATGGCCTGGGCGAGCGGCCCGCCCCTTGGAGTGCCCAGACGAGTCCGTGGGGGGCCGAGGGGGCGCGAGCTCGCTCCGGTCGCGGCTGAGGAGGCCCGCGCAGGGCGGCCGCGGGGCGAGGACCGACGCGCTTCCGGCGGCCCCTCTCGCCCGGGCGCCCCCGGCCAGGTCCCACGACGAGTGGGGGGCGGACATCTGGGGCCAGAGGTCGGACGGGCCCCCGTTTCCCGCCAGGTCCCCCTCCTGCCGAAGGGCCTGGCCTTCTCACAGGTCAGCAGTTCGCCTGGCCCGACCTTTGCTTTGGTACTTGTTGCGACGATTGTACTTCTTGCCGACTCGTTTGCCCCGCTGTGGACAGCCTGGGGCTCCGTCTTCGTCGCCGCCGACCCTCTCCTCAGCTGTACCTTCTGGTTTTAAGACACGTCGATTCCTTATGTGTCTGGTAGTTTACAGCCGGCGGTGCAGACCCTACGGCAGCCCTGACCTCTCCTCCACCAGATCAGGCACCTGTCAGGGAAGACCAGGAGCCCGGAGCGCCTGTGTGCGTCCCCGTGGGAAAATCGGGAGGGAGGCTGTGGGCCTCCTCGGGACCACCAACAGCACAGGACCCGGACTTGCTCCGCAGTGAACGTGGGCATTGGCAGCTTCGTTGATCTGTTTCACTCTGCCAAGTCCGGAGCGCTAAAATCTTGTTACGCAGTTCTTCTGAGGCGAGATTGCCCCCACACGATGGCTCCCTGAGCTGCCCGGGCAGTGGTTAATCTGAGTGTCAGAACTGGAGAGGACATTGCTAAGTTGCAGAAGTTTCTCCAGAGCACTGAAGGCAGAAAACCTCTGGTTAATGAGTAACCCAGGAAAGGTAGGTGACTCCAGGTCATCTACAGAAAACCACAATTGTGGTGACCTCTTATGATGTAGATATAGGTGTGAAAAGTTATTTGTTTGGCCGGAGAGGGAGAAAGAAGAGGAGTCTTGAGCATCATTGAATTAAAAGGACTGGAGCAAAACAAATTCTCTCTCACAAAAATCTCTGAGTTGACTTAAGTTTGGAGAAGAAGGGATTAAACACGAGGAGAGACTCGGGTGGCTGAAATATAAGTCCCGGCCATCTCTCCAAATGGACAGATCATCAGTCATGGCAGTGCACATAGGTCTGCAGTTAACCCTGTTTCAGGATTTTGTGTAGATCACAACCGTTGTGCACTTAGGCCCTGAGAATGCAGTGTGCCTGAGCTCCTTCTCCCTTGGGCCACCGTTTGCTGCAATTCCATATCACTGAGCTTGCAGACAGGCTGGGATTCTATGAAGACAGTTAAAACCTGTACAAAACAAAGTCAAGGCACGGTGTGGTGTTGACAGGCCAGAATAAAAAGTACAGGCATATTTTTTAAAAGGTCTGTGCCTCTCTGATTGTAACTTACAGCAGCTTTGTCACCTGTTTATTTTAACCACACCCACACACAGACTTCAGATGTGACTTGAAGTTGCTTAGCAACAACATGCCTCAGCCTGAGATGGAAGAAAATTCCTGGATGTTAAAAGATATGAGAGATAAAAGATACTTACACCTGAATTGGGGTGATGCTGTCATTGCTGACTGGGTACTTGGCCCCAGAACAGTCTGAGCCTCAATGTAGTATTAGCAGCATTTTGATTTCTAGCAACCTGAGGTGCATTTAGACCAGATGGACACAGCATCCTCACACTGCAGCAGCCACAGGTAACACAGGGTAGAGAAGAATCCTGAGAGCTCTGAATTTAGGGTGGCATGTGTCTTTGCACTGCTGAAATGGCCCAGAGGTCTCAGCTGTTGGTGACAGCTCTCCCACTTGAATAGAGAGCTGGCTACCTATCAGGCAATGTCTTCTCTTAAATGGTGGCTGCTCAACATCTAAGTTTTATCTCCATTATCTTCCCTCAACATCTTTCTGGAAGAAATCCACAAAAGCCCTCATGATTTTTCCATCTCCATTCGTTGTTTGCAGAAAGCAAGCTTGGGGTTTAGACTCTGTGTCAGAGCTGGTCTTGCTCATGTCCATGTGCACTGCTTTCAAGTGAATGCTGATCTGCAAAATAATGCTGGACCTCATGGGTCTCTTTCTGGCTAAGTTCAAATGCTGATTTTTTTTTTTCCAGCAAATATCTCTAAGTGTCTTTGATAACTTCAAGATCAGGCTTCCTTCCCAAAATATCATTCTTTTTAGCATGGCCTCTGATAGGAGCTAGCTGGTAGGCCAGCTCTGGGTTAGGTGAAGTCTTTACACCACTGACTAAAGAGAGATCCATGCATTAGAAAACCCAATGAGCAAATAGCCGGTTAGTATTCTGGTGTGAGCCTTAAGGCAGTTGCTCAGTGTTCCTAGAACGATAGGAAGGGGGTCAGAACAGGGAGCCAGCGCTTTCTGCCGGAAGTAGCTTGGGGCCCAGGTCAGCAGTTGAACTTCCTGGAGCCTGAGTGCCCCACCGCAGAGAGGCCGGCATGCATGTGACAGTCAGCCAAGGTGGCCAGGTCCCTGAGCCGAGGTAGATGGTCAGGGAGAGAAGGAGTGACGGTGAGTGAGCGCTGGTCCCTTGTTTGTCCTGTCAGCATCTCAAACTGCTCATCTCTTCACCTGAGACTGACTTCCCTCACAGGGAGGGCCCATGTGGCAGGCAGCAGGGGGCGAAATGACCCGTGAATGGGACAATGTAGAGATTTTTAAATGTCTCTTCAAATTGTAAGAATGGTTACCCCTTGTGCCTCAAAATGGACTCTTAGTGCCAACTTTTAACCCCACGGCCTTGGGACAGCATGGCATTTTGTGTCCTGGTGCAGGAAGTAAACTTTCTGAAGACAGAGTGATGGTTGTAACAAGCAGAGAGGAGGTACTTGTGGAAGGGGATGCAGAACGACAGCTGAGAAAGTCTTTGTTCCCTGTGCTTCCACAGGCACGCCAGAGAAAAGTATTGTCTTTTACAGACCACGTTAAAAAAAAAAAAAAATCTTGCAGTTCTATTTCTTGCTAAATACTGTTGTTCAAAATCAAATTGCGTTTCTCTTTTTTGCTTCCTGAATTCCTGAAATAAGACCTGTTTGGGCAGTGAGGTATTGGAAATTTGAGCCCATCTTGAAAATCACTGAGAAGAAAGAAGAAAGCAGTTTCATTATATAATAGAGCCTGTGGGTAATTGTCCCTTAGGTACTGAAAAGAATTCTTACCTGGAAAATGTTGATGGATAATATTTACACCTTTTTTTATAGTATTTATGGGAGTGCTGGTGGGTGCTTACTTCAATTTTGTTTTTTTCCAACCATCCTTCTCTCTTTGAACTCTTCAGAAGGGCTTGTTGGTCAGACTGTTGCTGCTTTCTAGTCTTGGTTTCAGGTTACTTTGTTTCTCCTCTGGCCTCCCTTTTTTAACACCATTTCACTGTGCCTACAGGGCCGCCTGGGTAGCTCCGTGGTTGAGCGTCTGCCTTTGGCTCAGGGCATGATCCCCGGGTCAGGGATGGAGTCCCGCATTGGGCTCCTTGTGGGGAGCCTGCTTCTCCCTGTCTGTGTCTCTGTGCCTCTCTCTCTCTCTCTGTCTCTCATGAATGGATAAATAAAATCTTTAAAAAAAAAAAAAAAGCGTGCCTATAGGAAAGTACACTACAAATGGTCCTGGCATGAGTATACCTGTATACCCACCACCCCAAACAGCCCCTCAGCCCCTTACCAGCCAAGTCCTCTCCTATTTAAAAAAAAAAAAAAAAGGCAAAAAATCATTTTTAAAAGAGTTTATTTATTTATTTATTTATTTGAGAAAGAAAGAGCATAAACCAAGGTGGGGGACAGAGGAAGATAGAAGACTGTGAGGCTCCATCCCAGGACCTTGGGATTGTGATCTGAGCCAAAGGGAAATGCTTAACCAACTGAGCCACCCAGGTGCCCCCAAAAAATCATTTTCTTGTAGGAAACACCAGAAACATTAACAGTCATTTTATTGGTGATGGGGTGAATAGGGAAGTCCTAGTTTTGCTTTATATTGCATATGAATTATTTTACTCTGTGTTCAGAGTAAAATAAAAAGGTTTACAAGAGCATTTACCTCCTTCAAGAAAAGGGAAATGTTATTGTATTATTTTAATTTCACTTTAAGTAATCTCTGTACCCAAGGTGGAGCTCAAACCCACAACCCTGAGATTGGGAGTCACAGGCTCTTTGGACTGAGCTAGCCAGGTGCCCCAGGACTGTTTTTTAAAACCTTTTAAAAAGTGGTCATCTAAAACTTGTAAATATTTTAAATTGGATTTTTTTTTAAGATTTTTTTTTTATTTATATATTCATGATAGGGGGGCGGGGGGAGATGCAGAGACACAGGCAGAGGTAGAAGCAGGCTCCATGCCAGGAGCCTGACCCGGGACTCGATCCCGGGACTCCAGGACCACGCCCAGGCCCGAAGGCAAGCGCTAAACCGCTGAGCCACCCAGGGATCCCCTATATTGGATTTTATAAAACCACGAAAATTGTTTAAGAATTATATAGGAACCCTTTATGTTTACAAGTGCGGTTAGCGTCCTTATCTACAACCACCTCCTTTTAAAAGCTTCATTACAACTTTGAATCTGTATTTAGAACATTTATTTCTGGTATCAGTGCACAAAATGCCACACTATTCCAGGGGTCCAAGATCTAAAAGTTGGCACTAGGAGAGACTATTTCGGGGCAAAATGGGTAATCATTCTACTTAGAATATAAAACTTCCAAGTTGTTGCTAATTAAAAACAGCCCATGAAATAATTTTATAAAAATATATTCATGATTTTCTCATATCACCTGAAAGTCTTTTTTTTCTGAAAACAAAAACAACTCAAGCTGTTGAAGAAGAAAAATAAAAGCTCAAATAATACAGAAATGAGTGATGAAGAACATAGACATCTGCTGTAATTCCAGAGGCAAATGCTGGCAGGAGGTAAAATTACTTTTTAAAAATAATATGTTAACCTCATGATCAAGTGTTAATTTATACCAAATTTGGCCCACTTTCATAATGAACATCTCTTTGATTCTGAAGGATCTTAAACACAAAGGTAGAGAGGCAGAGTAAAAACCTATCCAATGATATAACCCAGCAGAGATGGAAACACGGAGGTGGGCAGCCTGGCCTGCTGGGGGGCGGGGGGCAGGCAGGCAGGGTCTCCGAAACCCGAGTCCCCTATTGCTGTGCTTTCTC